CCACCTCATATGGTACCATTAAAATTCTAAAAAAATGTGACTTTAATTTTAATGGCTAAACCCTATGATTTTTCAATCTTAGTGGACCGGCCCATTTGAGCTAATCCATTTTAACGACTCTATTTGAAACTCATAAAGAGATGAGAGAAATATAAAACTCAAAACATTGAATGGTTTGTCTTCAGACAACTGGTCCTGGAATCACGCAATCACGCATTTTTAACAGTCCGACCAAAATCAAATGGTTGTGATTCAAGAAAAACATTTTTTAAACTATTATATAAAATTTAAATTTGTTTATTTTAAACTGTCCAATCAAAATCTAACAAGCATAAGCATTATGACTACGTGATGCGTGGAAATTTTGACATCAGAGAATCCATTTTGTGAAACATTACATTGTTTTGAATTGGAGAGTACATATAAGTTTTAGATATTTTAGGTATGTGTTTCAACAATTGTGAAAGTTTATGGATAAACCTTTTAAAAACAATCTCTTTAAGAATAAATTGTAAATTCTTCATGAAAAGTTGTCAAGATTCTCACAGTAAGTGTTTGAAAGTGTAATTGGGAAACCAAGTTAACTCCTTAAGAACCATTAGTAGAGGGAAAGATACATAACAATTATTGTAAATATTAGACTGTAAATAGTAATTAGTAGTATTAGTAATGAGGTCCATTAGTCAAAACCCATTAGGTTTTCTATTCTATTTAAAGCATGTAGTTGCAACATTGTAAGCAGAACTTTTAATTCCATCAGTGAAATATTTTACAACATGGTATCACAACTCCTGTTTTTTGGGGGTCTCGCTTCCGCATAAACCCTAGCCGCCGTTGTAACGGAGTTTTTTTCTTTCTTTCACTGTCGGTCATCCTTGCAGTTTTTTTTGGGTGTTTGGATCATTACTGTTCTGTGTTGCAGCACATTCTATTTCTTGGCTTTGCTTCACATCTCTCACGGTTCACTCATCTTTGCAACCCTACACTGCTTGTTTTTTTTTTGTTGATATTTTGTGTTTTTTCTTTGTGATTCAATACATATCTGCTGTTTGTTCCTCTCGATTGTCCCTTCAATGGCCGAGATTATTAACGAACAACCACCTCCGGCTCCACCTTCCACAAATCCACCAGTCCCATTTAATGCTAAGGATTTTGTCGTTCAAAAAGGTTACTGGCTTACCGAAAAAAATTATTTTCAATGGTCTCAGTTCATCAGACACACTCTAAAATGTTGTGACATGCTAGATCATATTGAAGGCAATCCTCCTCTGGTTACTGCTCCTAATTTCCCTACCTGGGATAAAGATGATTCTGCTATTATTACTTGGCTTTGGAACTCCATATCTCCAGAAATTAGTAGAAATTGCATGTATCTCTCAAGTGCAAAGGCAGTTTGGGATTATCTTCGTCGAAGTTATTCCATGAAACAAGATATGTCTGCTTGTTATAATTTAAAGAGGAAATTCTTCAACACTAAGCAGGGAAGTCTTTCGGTCAACGATTACTTTGGAGTTCTCAATGGTTTTTGGATTGAGTTGGATCAATATCAGAATTTGAAGATGGAGTGCAGCAAGGATACTGCCACCTTGAATACTGTTGTTGAACGGGATGGGATCTTTGATTTCTTAGCAGGCCTTAATATTGAATTTGACCCTATTCGGGTGCAGATTTTGGGTAAGGAAAAATTTCCTGATCTTAATGAAGTTTTTTACACTGTTCGTAGTGAGGAGACCCGTCGTCAAGATATGCTTCATGAACATCCCCCGGATGTGTCAGCACTAGTAGCTAGCAAAACAACAAGACAAGGACCACCATCATCATCATCTAAGAATGGTCGTGACAAATTCTATTGTGAGCATTGCATTCGATCAGGGCATTCAAAGGATAGGTGTTTCAAACTACATGGGAGGGAACAGGTTCTTAGTCGAGGAGGTAGTTCTCGCAACATGCACCAGCATCAGGCACATGTTGCCACACATGCCCATGATACTGAAAGATTTGAAAAAGGGGGAACTGATCTTTCCTCCTTCAGTCAGAATGACGTGGAATGGTTGAAGTCTATGCTTGACTCCATGAGTAAGCCTTCTGGTTCTGGGTCTCTAGCAGTTACTGGTAAGAGTTTGTGTTCCCGATCTTTTACTGTTTGTGGTAATATCCCTAAGAATGCGTGGATTCTTGACTCTGGTGCTACTAATCATATGACATTTGATTCCACATTATTATGCTCTTATACCACACCTTCGAGTATTCCTTATTATCATTGTTGTTGATGGCTCTCATGCTTGTGTTGTTGGCACTGGAAATATTGACTTGCAACCTCCATTTTAGTTGCAATTTGTGCTTCATGTTCCCACACTTTCCCACAATTTGATTTCCATCCATAAGCTTACCCGTGATCTAAATTGTAAAGTAATGTTTTTTACGTCCCATTGTGTTTTTCAGGACCTTACCACGGGGAAGACGATTGGAATTGCTAAGGAAAAGGAAGGGTTATACTACTTCTCTGATGACCATCCAAAGGTGTTGTCCTCCTGTCTCCAGTCTCCAGTCTCAGTCTTCCTCTTCAGCCTCATAAATTTGGCTTCAGCACAAGCGTCTCGGTCACCCTCCATTTTATATAATTAAGTCTATGTTTCCGTCATTGTTCTTAAACCATTATGTTGAGTCTTTTAAGTGTGATGTTTGTCAGTTGGCAAAACACAATCATGTAAATTTTCCTTCCAATTTTAATAAAAGTGTTGAACCTTTTAATGTGATTCATTCTGATGTTTGGGGACCTGCCCCTACCTCTAATATTTTTGGTGCAAAATGGTTTGTTTCATTTATTGATGATTGTACTCGGGTAACTTGGATTTTCTTGATGAATACTAAATCCGAAGTACCACAAATATTTATCCAATTTTATAATATGGTACAAACACAATTTGGGAAATGTATAAAAAGAATTCGTTCTGACAATGGTAAAGAATATGCCAATCATACCTTCTCCAACTTCACAAGTAAACATGGCATTCTTCATGAATTCACATGTATTGACACCCCACAACAAAACGGCGCGCAGAAAGAAAAAATCGTCATTTAATTGAAGTTGCTCGATATCTCCTTTTTTAAATGTCTGTTCCCACCTCTTATTGGGGGGAGGCAGTTCTTACTGCTGCCTATCTGATTAATCGGGTCCCATCTCGAGTGTTAGGTAATATTAGTCCTGCTCAATTTATGCTCTCACGTTTTCCCTCTGTTCCTATCTTACATAATCTTGAGTCTCGCGTGTTTGGTTGTGTTGCTTTTGTTCATGTTCACAAACAATATCGCAACAAGTTGGATCCCCGTGTTGTCAGATGTATCTTTCTGGGTTATGCACCCAATAAAAGAGGGTACAAATGTTATCATCCTCCGAGTCGGAAATTCTTTGTCTCCAAAGATGTCACCTTTCATGAAAATGTGTCATACTTCACTCATTCTCAGTCTCAGGGGGAGAACATGAGTGACTTAGAGGTTGAGTCTGAGTTTCTGATCCTTGGTCCTAGCCTCCCGAGAACACCTGTCAGTGTTCCCTCTCTTGAACCCAAGTTGTCACCTAGTTTGAGTTTGAGTCCTAGTTCAACACCTGAATCTGAGTCAGTAATTGTTCCTGGTCCTTCAATGCCTTATGTTCCACAGGAATCAGCACCTTCAGCACCAACTCTAGTGTATCAGAGAAGAAGTAAATCTGACCTTCTCCAGAAACAAATCCAATCGTCTGAACCGGAGGTAAGTACTGAAAATGATTCCTCAAATGATGATTGTTCTATTTCTGATACTTGTGACACTAATCCAGTTGGTTTACCCAATGCTTTGAGGAAGGATAAAAGATCTTGTCCCTCCGTATATCGACACCTTATCTCTCAATATGTCTCCACTAAACATCTTTCCGCACAATATCAAAGTTTTATTGCAGCTGTTGATTCTGTGAAAATCCCATTATCAGTTGAAGAAGCATTGCAAAATAGAAATTGGGTCCAAGCTATGGATGAGGAAATGAGAGCACTTGAAAAAAATGAAACTTGGGAGATTATTGAAAGGCAAAGAGACAAAAAGTCGGTTGGATGCAGATGGATCTATACTGTAAAGTATAAATCTGATGGCACACACTAGACCAGATTTAGCATATGCAGTCAGTGTGGTGAGCCAATTCATTCATGATCCGAGGGTGAGACATTTGCAGGTTGTAGACCGCGTTCTACAATATCTTAAAGCAACTCCAGGGAGAGGACTTTTGTTTAAAAGAGGTGAGAATTTATCTATGAAGACTTACACTGATGCGGATTATGCCGGCTCAGTGAGTGACAGAAGATCTACGTCAGGCTATTGTACTTTTCTGTGTGGTAACCTTGTAGCTTGGAAGAGTAAGAAGCAAAGTGTAGTTGTTCGATCAAGCGCCGAGGCAGAATTTAGAGCTATGGCACTAGAAATTTGTGAACTATTGTGGATGAAACAAGTTCTAGAAGACTTGAACATACAGTGTGAAGGCCCTATGGAATTGTTTTGTGACAATAAATCGGCTATTAGTATTGCTCATAATCCTGTTCAGGATGACAGGACTAAACACATTGAGATTGACCGACATTTTATCAAAGAGAAGTTGGATAGTGGGCTGATAACTACATCTTACGTTCCTTCAAGGCATCAACTCGCAGATGTGTTAACAAAAGGCTTACCAACAGAAAGATTCAGGCAACTTACTTGCAAGCTGGGAATGATAGATATCCATTCACCAGCTTGAGGGGGAGTGTTGTAAACATTAGACTGTAAATAGTAATTAGTAGTATTAGTAATGACGCCCATTAGTCAAAACCCATTAGGTTTTCTATTCTCTCTTATTTAAAACATGTAGTTGCAACATTTTAAGCAGAACTTTTAATTTCATCAGTGAAATATTTTACAACAACAATATTCAAACAAATTAATATGCTCCAAAATTTTATGTTCAACTGAGTCCTCTTGGCCCTTAACTTTCAATCCTATTGAGTAAGAGGAACACACTCAAGCTCAATCTCAAGAACACCTCTCTCAACATTCTGTAGCCTCACTGAGATTTCTTGTTTGATCCTCCCTTCATCAAGAGATATCACACCATCTCTAACAAGAGAGTTGTCCTTGCTTGCTACAAATTTCTCTAGCTGCACCGACTCATTCGCCGTAGATTTTTCATATGCAATTGCAGCTAAAACCAGTGGTTGAATGTCTATTTCCGCTTCACCCATGAAATCATCGGTTGAAAATGTATCCTTATCGTACACTAGCTGCATAGAAACCAGAATAGGCTTAATTAAACATAATTGTCATTTATGATGACATCAAGAAAAACGGTTCCCACTTCATTATCGTCAAGGAATTGCGCATTTGTCATTGCAATGCGACGATTTGGACTATTAGATAAAGATTAAACGGTCCATGTTCTGAACTTAATAAATCGGGTCTAATATCAAAAGTCAGAACGTGAGCCATTTGATCTTCGTCTGACACTCCAAATCAAAGACCTAGTGAATGCAGGAAATCCAATATCCGAAAGAAAGGAGCACGTGAAACGAAAAAGAAAGCACAAACAGAAAACTAAGAAGACTTGGCCATACAAACGGAACAATACAATTGAACATACCACTTTAAGGGGAGGAATGTTTTCTGGAATTGAAAGCATCAAACTTTCATTCCAAACTGGATTCAAATTGTTCTTTATAACACGCGTTTTTACCGACTGCAAGAACAGATATTAAAAGTGTTACACTTTACACGTTTCATTTATACTCTCTGTTCCTTATTATAGGAAAAGTTCACTTTTTAGATACACCGAATAATCAATATACTTGGTTCATATATAGTCCAAAAACGTTGATTATTCAATCTATTTAAAAAGTGAATTTTTCTCATAATAACGACCAGATGGAGTATTTTTCAAGTAGTTAAGAGAGAAGAATGCTCACTTGGTGTCCCAAAGAAAGGATCACATAAGGGTCACTTGTCATTACATCTCTAACAGCCAGATGAGTTCCTTTCACAACATTAACCTTAATTAACCCAACAAATTCAACCATACCTGCCTATAACAGTAAATTGCAACCAAACTAAGTATTCAAAACCAAAATAGAAAATAGGCATTTCAATTGACTCAAAAAGGAGTATTTCAGTTTTTATGAAATATTGCTATAGAACTAGCATTCATCAATTGAAAACATTACCAACGAGGAGCTCTTCTTTGAAGACTTGTGCTCAGAATCTTTTCTCGTCCAGCTATTTCGAAATGCGTTTCCGATACGATGTTTGGTTGGGGTTTTGTCATATTTTTTGTTTTCCATATGAAAAGTGTAACATGAAGAACTACTCTGAGCCAACGATAAACTTCTTCTTCGAGATGGTACAATTGCACATGCTGAATTGTCATCACACTCCATGAACTGAAGTTGCTCGTATTTTTTCCTGAAAAACCAATAGGAGATTTCTTAATAAGAATGGTGTAATTCTAATTCCTCAACAAAAAAAAAAGAGAGTTCTATTCAGTTTTAGTTACCTGATATAATCGGAGCGATCTTCGATCGAGGTATGTGGTTTTGGTTTTTTTATATTACTTGGCAGGAAAGCTTCATATTTTTTATTTAACAATGTATTTCCACCTAACTTCTCTAATGCATCGACTTGTTCCTCCGACCATTCATCTAACTTCAACGATGCAACCTGTAATAGTCAAACATGTAGTGCTCATGTAGCAGTATTTAACTACCGAATTTGATGAACGCTTTGTTTGAATTAACAGCTTAATTAAACGCTTATTGTATAAATGTTTATCATACAAGTGTGTATGTATAAACTATTTTTATAAAAAAAAGATAAAATAAAACCAAACTGTTCATATAAGCTATAAGCTTTTTTCATAAGCTACTATGGAGACCTTATTTACCAAAATCCTGCCATACCAGACGCTTTGCAACGCTGTTATAGCGGATTATGGCAGAAAAACCTGCAATGTCGGCCTATATTTACCATTGCGGCAATCCCAAAAACCACCATGCATATCTGTCATACCGCTGCAAATGCGGACACTTGATAACAATGGTCTAATGACGAGTTCAAATTTCGATAAACATGTAATGCGTATAAGAAACATACCTTTGATATGTGGACTCCTAAACTTCTATGTATGCCAGAACACTTTATGCAAATGAATACTCCAAGACTTGAAGATCTAATGTTCAATGAATAAATTGAATAAATAACATGAAATAATGATGAAAAAATCGGCTATTGATAATGAGATTTCAACAAAAATAGCAAACAATCCTAAAAAAATTGAACTCCTACGAAAATCGGACGAACACTTACACCCATTTTGGTTCTGGAGTTCCGCAATCCGCGCAAAACCTGTTTCCAGCTTGATGCATCAAATTTGTTATCCTTTTGTGTGGACCTAATAATTGGAAAAATGGTTATTGAAAAAGATTGTATATATGAATAAATAAATTTATTCTTATTTTTGTGCAAAATTAATGAAAATGAAGAAATGTTCTTACCTGGTACATCTTTTGTATCAGAATTTTCTTCCTGTGAAGACATTTTAGCTTCCAATATTTGAAACCAAAATCGAGAAATGATGCTAGAATTTGCAACCAGCCATTTGTGAGTTGCTTTTCTGCATTGCACAATTCATATACAAACCAAAATGAAAGAATAAAAAACAAAACTAAACACGAACAAAAATGTTGCAATAAAGAAACAATTTTTGAATAAAAAAAATGATGAATCAACATATTATAAATTATACCTTTCTCCTTTTAAATGTTGGCATCAAAAGAACTCAATGATGATTTCCAAAATGGTATGCAAAATTGAAGACCAATTCAAAGAAATTGTGTCAAATTAATGGAGTTGGAAAAAAAATTGAAAAATCTTGAAAGGTTTTCAAATGTTTTTGACAAGAATTGAAGGTGAGGTTGAAAGTTTGGGAAAATTGAATGAGAAGGTAAAATGTATTGTGATTATGGGAGTGGCAACAAATCACAGGCTTTCAGGATTAAGAGAGACAGGTAAGAATTTGTTTTTCATTTTCTTACAAATTTGGCTATGGAAAAATTGTGAATCCTAACACAGACGAACATGAAAAAATGTCGCCTTTTCTAAAACTTTAATTTAACTAAAAATTACTTTTTTTTTATTATGTGTTCAAATAAATTACAAAATTAAAAATAGGACTTAAAAAAGAAAAGAAAGATACATGTGCCAATCTATGTTTAGCATGCTTCGATTTCTTTCCATTTTTTTAATTTTTTTAAAATATTCCATATTTATGGTTTAAAAAATTATAAAAATTAAAAATAAAAATTCAAATAAAAATTAATTTAATTAATTTTTTATAATGTTATTTTAGCTATTTTATCGTTTTACCCTAATTATTTTGGATATTACAAATTAAAGAAACACTTAATTTAAACTTATTCTAACAGTTTTATGTAAAATATATATATTGAAAATTTTAACTATATTTAATCTTCAATATTATTTGATTTAAAATTAATCCTTTAATTTATAAAAATAAATTTAAAAAATATTTTAATAATTTGAAAACCATTTTTATGAATATTTAAAAAAAAAATATTTTTTAAAACTAAAACAAACCGATCAAAATTTATATAATTTGTATTATTATTTTCAAAATCATGTCTTTACCATTATTATCACGAATAAAAATTTAGTTATTTTATACTCTCTAAGTTTTTTATTAACTTTTATTATGTCATTTTGTATTATAAAAATTAAACTAGTCGTCATACCATACCAATAAATAACTAATGCTATTAATTTCCCGTCACTAAAAAGAACTAATGTTATTTTTTTAAAATAATTTTTTCATTTATTTTACTTATATCAATTATTTTAACCGCTCACAAAGTCAAAAACAAAGGTAAAATAAAAGAAGCAAACATAAGCAACAAGTGTTATATCATTCTCATCTAAGGTAGGCAATTCTGCCCAATAATGTGTCATCCACCGCAACCATAATATAAGAGAAAAATATGTTATTCTTATGTAATTTAAATTTATCTCACTCTTAAATATCTATGATATTGGAGGGTCAATTTTACAAGCTCATTCCTATGCAGTTTTTGGAGATTTACGCTACCGTATCAAGAGTCTATCTCATCAGTTCATCGACAACTCTGATTTATGAACAGAACAGTGACATCGTCGGTGGAAATCAACTTTTGATTCTTATGAATTTTCATAAAAACCAAAATGTATTCGTCAGACATCTAGATCTTAGATTCTCATTGTTGTAAGATCGACCTACTTCGTTGAATGCGAAAACACGCTCTTTAACACTATGACAACATCAAGATACACTCGATTTGCTGAAAGTGATGGAGTTGCCGCTGCTACCAGAGCTTAACTACTTTCTTTTGAAATTGAAGATCTATTCCTCGTAACCTCTGCATCTGAAGCAACACCATAAGATTTGGCTTCTTTCGAGAGTACTCTGAGGGAAAACCCAATATGAGTCATCAAATCATCCTCCTTTGCAACCACTAGCACCTGGACAATAGGATCTTATAGCCTTCAACTATTGCAAACCAGTTTAAGCATGCAAAAATTGATTGATCTGTTGAATAGCGTGTACAACTTGGTCCATCACGTCTTGTATGATAGGATCTTCAAAATTTAAGATAACTTACAATTTTCTCCTCCAAGAAACATCACCATACGGGAGGTGGCCTCGCATAGCTAGTTGTGGATGAAAAGAGCTTCCGCATAAGGGGGAGCATTGTGGATAGACTCACACTTGAGGGGGAATGTTAAGTATAACAAATGTGAGTATTATGGATAATACTCTTGATGACGTGTTTCACAAGTGCACGAATGTCGTCAGAGTAATATAAAAGATTATCGATCCCACAGAGACCAAACGTCAATCTATCGTATACTATTGTTACGGTGTTTATCTAAGGCAAGTCAATAAAGGGTTGAGTTGTGCGAAATAAAAGTAAAGTGCGTAAATAAATTCAATAATAAAACAACAGGCATAGATGCAATTCATATAGCTACGTAGTATTCCAAATGCGTACAAATAGGGTGCCTTATGGGGTAATGTTTTTCACTCATGAAAAGAACTAATTTAACGGGAATTGTCGCTTTCGCGTATTCAGAACCGGGTTTATCCCTAATCGATCCATCTTATTGTCACTTATAAGAAGGCGCGTATTGCGTTAGGATTGATTAAGCCTATTTTTAAGAAATATAGTTTCTTAACTTAGTTGAAAAGTATTTTGACCTGGCATTTCTAACAAAAAGAGGTTCTTGCGAACCGGACTTTAAATCCATAAACGCGTCTGAAAACAGTTTTAAAATCGGTTTTCTTAAACATTAAAGATTCCTACATAACTGAACCAAGCGCTTCCGCTTCCTTGGAACAGTTAGAACTAACCAAATTTATCTAAAGGTTGGACGGCTTTTGATCTTACCCAACAGATTTTAAGTACAGAAAATAGGTGTTTAAAAGTCAGAATAACCCCTAAGTAACTCTATCGACAGCCGTATGGAATACTATTATGACTATAATCCTCGCATCCTAGCCTTTAAGATTTAGTCGGACATGGTAAAGTAAATAAACATGGTAAATAAATGCGAGTAAATAAAGTGCGATAAAGGGTGCGATAAATAAACGGTGCGATAAATAAATCGTACATAAAATAAAAGCAGATAAATAAAAAGCGATAAATAAATAGAAACGTGCTCTAAACGAGAGGCTTTAAATGTTGGTACAACTGGAAGTAAATGACAGAAATAAAATGGCGGCAGGATTAACTTATACTCAAGTGCTCCAAACTCGATTAGACAGTGTAATAACCCCTCGATGTGAGAAGTTTATTACTTTTACAATGGATGAAATTTATGGCTTGAATTCTGTAACTAAGCTTGGATGATTAGAAATGAGACAGAACTCCTCTATTTATAGTAGTAGGAAAGTACAAGTAAGGACAAGAATGCCCCCAACTCCTTTTGGGAGGGAAACGAGTTTGTGAAGGTGGCGCCCGCCACCTCTCTATGGCGCCCGCCATGCGAACTAGGGTGGAAAGGGGTGGGAGACATGGTCGCCATGGTGGAAACCATGTGTACAATTCCTAAAAATGTTGGTCTTTTAGCTCGTTTTTCTTCATTTCTTCTCGAGTAGTTTTGAAAATACAAAAATCTGAAAAAGAAACAAAACAGAGGCATAATACAAGAAAACAGAAATAAACTCCTAAATAACGTGCGCAAATTGAGTCGGAAAAACAATATATTTTAGGTCTATCAAACTCTCCCACACTAAAACCCTTGCTTGTCCTCAAGCAAAACATCATGACAGAAAAGGGTGATATCCATAAATGATCTGGGCAAAAAGGGATTATAATTTCAAGCTGGGATGAAGCGATAGGTAATAACTCAGTGAACCACGGGTATCAAAATGACACATCTCCGTAAACATGGACATAAGCTTCGTTCTTTACACAAATCAATCCAAAATACCCTACTGTATCTAGGCCTACTTTCAAACCTCCTTTTGGGTCCTTTTCATTCTGGTGCAATCACATTAAGCCCGTTATCCACACTTAATCATGGTGAAGTGACCGGTTAGTGATTCTTGATCTTAAGCATGGGGCTATGGTACGCAAATTGGTGTAACCCCTATTATTTACCCACTTGTAGTTGTGGGGGATCGGATTGTAATCCGCCCTACCGAGTTCAGTACCAGATACCTCTGAACCAACTAATAATGGGAAGGTAATTTTGTTTTGTTTTGTTTTATCATTTTTTTTCTTTTTTTTGTTGAAATTTTTACAACTTCTGGGTTAGATGACCTTGTGAGGGTTACCTGTACCCGAGTTGCAATTATTTTATTTAGCATACCGATTATTCACTTATTTTCATCGGTCCTTCACTTAGATAACGCTTTTGGCTAGAGCTGACTACTAGGATAAACTACTAAGGACTCACTACGAACATTCTATTAAGGTCATGGTAAACAGGGTATCGGGGTTGATTTCTGCATTTGTGAAGCCTAATGTGTCATAATGATACCGATATTTCAAAGAGAATTTTCCAAGCCATCCGCATCCTAACTCGAACTTGCCTCAAAGCCCAAAAAAAAAATTCAGGATAGTACACTATTTGTCAAAAGGTTTTTGGTGGGGCAAGGTAATGAGGGAATAAGGGTATATTATAGAACGACTCTTTAAGCACAAGTATGTTCTAAAAGAAAAAAATGAAAAGAAAAATAAGAAGGGAAATAAACTAGAAAGCGATAAAAGAAATAAAAAGTGCGAGAAAAAGCGAGAAAATAAATAAAGCAATAAATAAAGTCTCCTCCCACACTTAAATTGAACATTGTCCCCAATTTTTCAAAATAAGTAAGGGACGAGGTACCTGAAGAGCCTAAGGCATGTTGTCGGTGTTGTCGCTAGCATGCTCGGAGTACCTAAGGCGACGGGATCTGCTGCGATGATGATCGGTCTGAGAAGCATCGAACGCGTCGAATTTAGTGGTCAGAGCAGCTTGAGATTGCATTATGTTGTGCATGGACT